ATTCGTCTTAAAGAATTTGCCTCAAGGCATCCGTTTGTGTGTTCCAAAATTCATGACTGTGGGTTTAAACACAAGCTATCCTTATCTCCTCATCCAGTCATAAGTTGGAAAATAGGCAGATAATTCATTAGTGGCTCACATTGAGCTTTGTAAAACACAGACCTCAAGGTTTATTAGCATATGCACATGCGTTTGAGACTCGTTGGCGTGGCTTTCATGGTCATGCCTCTCACTGAATGTGTGAATGGTTTGTTCTATCAAGTGAGCAGAGCCCCGCGAACTAGTTCAACCTTGCACTAAATTGTTACAACATACCTGTTCAGCATGTTATGCTATCTTACCACATGTGACTACATTACACGCTTGAGAAAGTGACAAGATGGGTCTTGAAGCTAAGGAACTGTGAATTCTAAAACAACAAAGATAATGTTATATTGAAGCTGCTCAGGGTAGTAAATACACTTCAGAGGTCGCCAAAATTGGTGTCCACCAGGATTACTGCACATTGGATGTTTAAGTAGACCATTTGTTGTGCCTACCGTGGATAGTCTAATTGGTCCTGGAAGAAAATTAAATAAAGCATAAGCATTATTTTCCAAAGATTTTATTTCTTTTATTTCCATAAATGAGCACAGAACTGGGCTATCCTTATTGCCTTGGCTATGTGTGGCCTAATTTTTAGCCGTGACGTCCTGGCGTCAAAAAGCTATTTGATGCACAATCAAAAGACCAGACTTCGGCGCATGAAATGAGAATTGCCAAGACTAGGGTCCACAAGTAAGCTTTTGTCAAATGCAGTGTAATTGACCTCATCAGGCCGGCTGATTAACCCATTTCTCAGACTATGTACTAGTTCGACATGGAGATTGGCAACTCATGGACACCTCAAAAGATAAAGGGTAACATTTGGCACATTACGATTGTCGAAGTATTTGGCTTCTTCCAGAAGCACAGCGCAGGTGTCAGAAATGAAAGCGAGTTCTTCGTACTACTCTTGATTCGTGATCTGCTCCTATGGCCACGTTCATTCATTCACATAAATTGCGAAGTTGATAATAAATACCGGGAGAGTTTATTGAATGCAGGGTAACATTGGCTTAAAAATTGGTAGTTTCCTAAGACCAGAAAATTACTGTGTTCATTTGATACATACACTTGTTCATTGTAAATGATGGTCTTATGTCAAACCCCCTCTTTCATCTCCATTATCTATGTTAGCCACCTCAAAACCCAATCCGGCAATTCACATCTGTTAACACTGCACCAGCGTCACTACTTCAAAATACGTGATTAGTGTTGCTTTACTTTCATTAGGAAATTCTTAACCGCCGGTAATTTGATATTTGTCTTTTCTTTAAGAATCGCACACTGGGTGTGATATGCCCTGACGACGTTTGGTTGAGAAGTCGTTTCATCATTACTACCATTGTCAGTCAGCCATCAGTACCATCCCTACTGAAAAGAGGTAATCTGATATCTTGAATTGCGATAATGGGCACCAAACTGCCCCTAACTTTGAAGACCAACCTGATAGCGCACAGCCTTTCCGTGCTTAATAATTACGTTGGTGAGAGGTAAACTAAGCTAATGGATCCGCAGGCGGTAAGCAAGCGAGGAGATAATTTACTGTGTTTGATGCAATTTCATTGGCCACAATTGAAAAACTTTTAAAAATTTCTGCTGCAAGAGACTTGTTAGCTCATTACTTGGATAGGCGAATGTATTTAGGGCAAGTTTAAGTGATTGATTCCACTTCCGACTCAATCAGCGTCCGTAGTTACCTCCAAATTCATCTTTCTTTTAGCTGTCATGGCATGGTTGTTGATGACAATGCTTTTGTGAATGCAATTAATTGAAGGGCTGTACACGAAATATGCTCGGTGACTGCATAAATGCAAACAAGCTGCAGCCACTTTTGCGTAAGTCCGTCGTTTTTCAAAAATTGTTGAATGTTAACTTTCTAAGGTAAAAATAAATGGCTATTATAATTGATTTGAATCCCAGCTTAATATCACGTGCGTGGTAATAATGGCAGTGCTTGCAAAAGACGCACCTCATCTCGTGCAGGTCGTAAGTTGGTTTGCACATTTGGTATAATGGACCTTTTTTATGATGAGGTGCAAAGAAAATTGACCGCCAAATGCAAGAATTGTTTGCATCCAAACGAAATCTGCAACCGTGTAGTACTTTTCTCTATTAACTGTTAACTGAATTCACAAAGGCAATAAAGTACACCACTAGTCCATTTTTTGCTGTGCCTATGATTGAGCAGTGATGCGAGCGTTGGTGTCTATGGCGGGTTAAAGTTTAGAGGCTGAAATGCAAAAACGCCATTTCGTTTCCTCATTACTGGCAGTGCCCTATTACTTAAGAAGTCCCAAGTAATGAGTTATCACCCTGGCCCTTTCCGGCATGAATGAGTCAAGTAAGGTAATTGAATCTAAGAGTTATCTCACTGCATTATTCCAAATTCAATTAGTGTGCTTCATGAATGCTTTACGCTTGTGCATGCATGTGTCCCTTTGTGATGAAACAGCACTTCTCTAAGGCACACGATATCGTTCAATAGAATTTGGCTGAGTGCCCGCAGATATGGCCAATAAATATGGCTCCCAAGCACAACTGCCTTCTCTTAACTACCTAATTAATGTAAGTAATGTACAGCTTCTACTCTTGCCTATTTACACCTCACCATCTTTTTCAGTCAGCCTTCTTAAAAGGTCAGTCAAGGAATGCTGAAGTGGGGGACTGCATCTCTCTTTATGTATATGTATACAAATTAATTTAATGCTCTATAGAAAGCTCACGTCCTTATTAGAAAGGATGGCATATCTATCAATATAGCCACCTATAAAGGTTAATCAAATCCAAATCTACTGACTGTTTAAAAACACAAGCATTCACCAACCTGAGTGAAACATTTGCGTAACAGAGTAAGAGGTGACCTACCACTATAAGACCCCTAATGCAACTTTAAGGGAGGCATGCACATCTTCCTAATTGCATTTCTCACTACACTCTTGCATCAAGGAAACCTTATTGCTTGTGAAGCTGTTGGATGATTGAGGGAAGTCGAAGAGACAGAGGTGACTCGTGAAGAATCGGAGTTACTTGCTTAAATGTCCCAAAGCATCTATTAGAGGACACTTGCATCCATCATTTATCAGCTTTAGGGGCACTAACGCATTAGAATTATGATCATACTTAAATACCTTACTCGACGGTAAGGAAGATGAAGCAGACGTGCTAGGCAGGATTTTCGTTACCTCTGTCCCTATTGCTTTTCTCTTTGAATCCACAAGACCAAATCTTGTAGTAATGCGTAGTGATGGGAATGGTAAAGCAGAAATTTTGCGCTTTTATTAGCCTTGGAAGCCGTGACAGCTTAGAAAAACCGTACCACACCTAGGCCTTATACAGCTATCAAATAAACGAGTGACTGCTCATCAAACCTAGACCCGCTTCTTGCCCCACCAATCAGTGCTTTTAAGATACTGAGCGTTTGCCCTCCCTAAAAATCAAATTAATCTGCTTAAACTACTGCAGTGGTATCTGTTTGCTTGCAACGATGGAACTTGCTCGTAAGAAATAAAAATTTTAAAGAAAGTCTAGATGGGGCCCTCTTTTTCGAGACTACGCAGACATGGGCTTGGGATAGCTGGGGGAAGACATGCAATTCGGGGCGATAAGATAAAGGGATAGTATCACAGCTGCGCTCTTCTTTGTCTCCTTCTCCTCTTTTAAGTGGCTGTACTTTCTTACGGACAAATTAAAAGGAAGAGTGAAAAGAAAGTTGGAGGTTAGGGGAAGGCTCTAGTGTAATGATGGTTGAGGAATGCAAAAATTAAGAAATCTTTTCTTCTCCTTAAAAGGCACACAAATAATAGACTATGAGATAGGTTCTGCCAGTTTTTAGCCTCCCCTTCTCCCTCCAGAAGGGCATTTTACCTGTTTTCCCTTGCAGTCAAAATGAACATCTTTCCTCCCTTAGTTAGGTGCGAGGATGTATGGCAAATGTCTCTGTTCCTCCTCTGAAGTGGCGCTCATCCACTCCATCGAGAGAGCAAGTTTACTCTGTACCTCTTTTTGTAGGACTACGATGTAGCTTTTTCTAATGGTTGAAGATCGTTGAAAATATTAGGCTTAGAAGAAGGTGCATTTAAGGATGATAATATCATCGCTTTCCTCATGAACAGTTATAATTGAGAGAATTATATTTAGCAGTGGTTGCGATAAGCTTAACGCTTGTTGATTTTGAGCGGGACTGGACCCTTTGAACATGATTTGCCACATCTTGAGTAAATTTAGCCCATTGAGTGCTCCATAATCTTTGGTCAGATAAGAGTTCAGTCTACTCAGTTTGTCCGCTTATTTCAGTGCGTACGCCGGATCTAGGATAAGTGACCCTTTCTCAGGTGATCACTACCTCTTGAGTGCATGGGCATTAGAATTCATCACGTCCCTTCCTTTTTGTTTTGGGAGGGGAAAGTAGCATTGCAAACATACACTTTCTTTTTTT